AAGCTCTACACAGTCTCTCAAATTTTGTCGAGTAAATGTCGAGGATGCCGGAATTTTCATGGAGTTTTTGCCACTTAAAAGGCAATATATCTCTGATTTCCGTAAGATCTTGAAAAAAGGAAGATAGGTGAAAAGCGGAAGGTTTGCGCTTCCTAATAGTCTGTTTAGCTTCTTCCCAAATCTCTTAGTTGAGGAGATATTTGCGTCGAGGACGGATTTCGGTTACCCAGAAAGCCGCTCCCTTCTTCTCTTCTCAAAATGTGTCTAGAATAATTCCCCAACGTAAGCGACAAGAAAAGGGGCAATCGTCATCGTCCGATCTCGTCTCAGTATAGGCCATGCATCCGACCTCCACTCAAGTTGTAGAATCTATTGAAAGGTGTTATACATATGATGACCTGTTGACAGAAAGTGTAACACATTTCGTAACTCCTATAACCTAAGGAACAGCTTCATTTGTCCAAGGCCTTCTAAAACTATTGTCGTTTTTGCTACAGCGTCCCTAACAACAGTGTCATTCTCAACGAGGTATTAAGGGAGAAGGAGCGAGCGATAAAGGAGGTGCCTTTGCAGCGCGTGCGCACATGTGGCCCCTTCCTTGCGGGGATGCACTTTCATTCTTTGTACTGCTTTCAAATACGCCCTTCTCATGAAGGTAGAGGAATGGAGCGACTGAACCTGCAAAGAATATTTTTCATTCATGTTTCCTCACATATTTCGTCGCTGCGCTACACCCTCTTACTCCTATCTGCACCACGATGCCACTGATGTTACTGACCCCCCACGAGTACGACCCCCCATGACCCAGCCCTGACAAATACGACCCCCTGTCGAGGATTTCCTCGACCGATATTCACCCTGGACGCGGCTGGACAGAGTCAGGGACAAGGATGTCAGAGCGGTCATGCAGACTGCCCCTGTTCAGCTAAAGGTGAGGGAACAAGGCCTTGATGGTATGGGCACGTGCTAGGAAGGCTGCAGGACTAAATGATGCTGCTGTTGGTGGACGGGGCGTACACCAAAATGGGCGGAGTTTGTTGTCAAACATATAACTCGATTCCATGATGTCCAGCAGAAAAAAGTGGAGAGTCCGACAACGGAAGGGAGTCATATGCTATGGATAGGTTGACGAAGTTTGCAAGAAAGCGTTACAAAATTATCGGTGGCACTGTTTTATACTGCAGCCCCGTATGATGCACACGAATGCGTGCGCACCAAATTAGTAAAGCATAAAGCATTTGCCGTTGATCAATCCTCGTTTTGGGATGCGGCACGCATTCTACTTCCATTTGTACATTCGTAGTGGCATTTGAATGCGATGTGGCCTATACAATGAACTTGGGGCCCGCAGCAGCCACTATTTTTATCCCTCTAAGTCTTGCAAATTCACAGACCCGAACACCTGCAAATTCACCGACCCGGAACGGATTGAGGGCTTGTTCGGCCCGAACGCCCCATGATTTGATCACCGCACACTGCGCGTGGTGAATAGCGCAGACTGCCGCTACACCATTTCCTCCCACAAAATTTTCAAAACTGAACCTTCTTCAGTCACATATGTTCCCTAACTACATACATACACATTGTTAAGTGTGCTGTATGTGTGTGATGTGGTATAAAATCATAAACACAAATAATAAAAAGCAACTGAGCATCACGAACAGTAAGCCATTTGGGGTTTGCCAGGGCGAATGCGCTGCACGCTCGTCGTCAAGTGCGGTCACAGCGTTTGACATCCCCTCCCTTCTCTGACGCCGATCCGACCATTTTCCGCTCCTCGGAACCGAATTATGAGGGCTTGTAAAGAAGGCTGTGCACTTTAGTGCACACTCTGCCTACGTCGTGTATGCTGGGAACACTTAAGACATTGCTTCCTTACACCAATTTGTTTTCTGCTCTGTAGGCTTTTCTAAACCGAGTTATTCGTCTCGAGGCTGATTTGTAATTGAATGAAATCTTGGTCGTCAGTGCAGATTTCGATGCACGCCACGCCCACTGTGGGCGGGGCTCCGCTTAGCTGATGTGTTTGTATTACCTCGTGAGACCTGCCCACCCATCCACACTTGACCCGGTCTCTCCAGGCGGATCCGAGGAGCTAGGGAATTTCGTGACAGACATACAGACAGATGACAATCACACACAATAATTTATAATACAAGCATTTCGTCGTCTCAATAGTCTACCCTTCAATCGCCCTGCATAGCTTCGTCAAGGAAAGAAGCAAACGTAAAAGCTATCGCGACTTCACCGCGATCTTGACCAGTGTGATCGCGCGGCAAATGTGGAATAAAAGGCCGTGGGTGGCCACAGGAGGGACCGCCGTATTTTTATTGATTGTTTTTTGTTGTATTTGTTGCTAACTAACTGTTCGCCGTTTCATATAATAAATCTTTTATAGATTGAGTTGCGCCGTAGATAGTCTAAGGATATTTTGCGCTCGCACTGATTGTATCCTAGAGTGAATCTACCTAATATTCGGAGTATTTTTACCGCGTGGCACGAGAAAGAAGCCACTGTTTTTATAAAAACTTCGTACCATATGTATATGCACAGACTCTCAGTTTCATTGCGCCGTCGTTGCCCACTCATAGAAAACACCATTACATCCGTAAGTTGTACCCCGACGAAGTTTTTTGACCTGAATGAATACAGCTTACCAGGTTTAGGCCGAAAATACACCGACAACTCTGGGTAATCAGGTGTAGGGGTGGTCCAGTAAATGTGATTTCGAATAAATCTAGAATGGGAAAGTGATGCAAACTTGCAAATTGGATGATCGTGTACAGTTCAGGTAGATTTTCAAGTGTAGAAAGACCTTCTTCGATATTATCAAACAACGTGAAACTCCAGTTCGGGGGGCCACTCCATTTTTTCTCCAATACTCAAGATAAGGATTAGAGGGCTCACGACACGTAATCGACTCATTTAAAGTAGACTTCTGATAAATATTGGTGTAATGGGTGAGAAACCCTGAAACGTTTTCACATTTCCGCCTGCCATGACCCAAGGGAACGGTCCTGGACCAGGAGAAAGGACACCTCCGCAAAGGGCTAAGGGTGCAGGAGCTCCAGGGTGGATCACCTGTGCAGAAAAGTGGATGGGATGTGGGCAGGTAGTGTGGAATGTAGGACATCCACCGGTCCTTATCAAAAGTACGCTCGAAATGAGTCGTTCACTTATTATCTTATCCGTAGTGTTCGATAGCCCAAAGAACTGCTCTCTAGTACTACGGATAAGATAGCAATGGAGTGCCCCCCCCCCCCGAACTGGAGTTTCACCTAAAACATTGTTGTCATCCACCTTATTACATATTTGGCTGTCCGATATTTTTTAGACGCAAATTTCTCTTCTAGACTTACCCCTATACAAGGGGTTACAAACCATCCAAAAGAGAAGAGAAGAAAGACAGACAGAAGATAACCAATTGAACTATATGCAAGAAGGTGGGTTACTTTGATATTTTGGGATACTGGGATACTTTTCGTGGGATACTTTTCGCACACCTTGTGAGCTCGTTCACTACAAGTTCGCCGAAGTGGGAGTTTTCGTCGACGAAATTTGGCCAACCGGCAAATCTGGCCCTATATTGTAGAGGCAAGTCAATAAGTTGTGCCATATTCTTGACGAAGTGCTCTATAAGGAACCCTTTATTGGGAATTATTTATTTACCAGTAAAGAACCCTTTATTTGAAGCCACGAGTCATGAGATTAGGTGACCATAGAAGGCCTTTCCATCACTAATATTTCCAGGAATGCGCTCAGAGGGGTGATGCCACACTCCTGACTCGAGATTGCGCGCCGTCAAGGCCTCTGGCCTACTACTTACAGCGATGGGTTCGTTTCATCAGCTGGTCCCGCCCACCGCGGGATGTGGTGCGTGGCTGGCCTAACGTGTGAGATCAGCTAGGTTGATTGCCGTATCAACCGATGGAACGGCTGGCATATCCGGAAAACTCGTTTGGACGTGGCTCTCCCCGAGCAAGCCTCCTTCACTGCTAGAAGGGAAGGGGTTTCGATTTCGGTCTTGTCGACGGTTTCTTTGCGTTTTTTCTTCTGTCGTTCCACCTCCCATCTCTACACTCAATTTCAGGCGCCATAATGCCCAAACACGAGCCTGACTTTTGCCTTTAAGTGACCTCCGCATTCCTACGCTGCTCCGTTATCAATCACCCTTACGGTAAGTTATCAATTTCTGCTCCTCCACCAAACATGTTCCTGTCCAACCCTCTACATCAAGTGTCGGAACCAATGCCTTAGTGCTGCAGGAGCACGGGTTATCAATTTGATATATCAGCCATTGTCAGCTTTCATCATTTTCGGTATCCCACCTACTATTTTGGCGCCTCACCCCGTACATCAATTCTTAAAACCCGTCGCCCCAGCTGCTGTAGCAACGCGCGCTAATGAATTCCCTGGATTTGCGTCTAGCGACTCTTAATTAGCTCCCTATCAGTCGCTATCAACTTTCTTGACCACCAAATACTGTTCCCGTCACACCCACTATATCACTTGCTGGAGCTGACCCTTCAGCTCTCGTCTCACGCAATGAATTCCGTGACATTTGCTTTCCAACGCCCCTTTTCAATCCTTATCAGTCGCTATCAATTCCAGTTACCCGCCAAATGTGTTCCCGTCCCACCCCTACATCAGATCTCAGAACCGACTTCTGAAAGCTGCTGCGACGCGCCTATAACTTCGTATACACATACACGACATATACATACATACATACATACATACATACATACATACATACATACATACATACATACATACATACATACATACATACATACATACATACATACATACATACATACATACTAATACATATATGTACACATCCTACCACATTTTTACGTTGGCCTTTGTACGCGTTCAACTTCTAAAATGTATAGGTAGGCAATCACTAGCATAAAAAGAAAGTCCTGCGACACTTTTTCAATTTTTTGATTTCAATTCTATCTTTTTTGTTTACAACTCCTGACCGGTCATATATCTATCATGAGTGTCCACCACTTGTCTTCAACGCTCAGAAAATTTCTGATGCTCCTTTTCCAAAACCCAGCGGAGTGCGGTCAAGAAAGGAGGCGACCTCACTTCGAGTTGGAGTTGATCGTCTAATTATTTCGTTATCAAGATGATGATTAAAGGTCCAGGATAGGTAGCACTTATTTACAGCTCGACCAGGGGATTACGCTAAGAGAGGGAAAGAAATCTTGCCGCAACTCCAGAATTTCTTACCGGGCTCATTTCGGATCATGGTGATTCGCAATGTCATGAAAGAAATGAATATTGTCGCGGTACGAGGGCTCTTGACGAGCTACCTCGGCCAGCTTCTGGTATTCCACAGCCTAGGCCTCTACCTACACAATGGTGCCCATAACGAAGGATATGTAGTAGGAGCCTCTGTAAGAGCCCTACCTGTAATGGAGTGTAGGGACGCTGCTGGCTTCTTATAAAAATATCAAAAGATCGGAAGCGCTGGTAAAGGGTGAAACACGTTGTAGCGGTGAACGACATGCCTGTTGAAGCTATTGCAGATAGTGTTGGTCTTCGACACGAATCCATAGTTATGTAGACACTTGTACTAGACAGTGACTCGGAGTGTGGATTTACTAGTGGTCGAGGTTTTTCAAATTTTCTTGGATAACTACTTACTGCAGCACTTATATCCACCTCGTGGATTGAAGCCTCGAGAATGCTCTACCATTTGTTAGTCATAAATGTTACCTATGGATTTTCAGAAAAAAAGAAAATTTTAGAAAGAGTGTCGCAGAACTTTCTTGCCAACCTAATATAATATGACGGGCACTCAGTAACTTTAACTCACTTCGGGGCCCTCTTTTTTGAAGGCCTCCTCCAAGGTTTCTTTCACCTTGACCGTGACGTTTCTGTAGTCGCCATTGAACGTCCTGAACAAACAAAATCTCTATGGTAAATTTAGTGAACAGTTCCATAAGTGTCAATGAGAACCTGTTCGCTCTTATCTTCTTCCAGCCTATCTCTTGCGGAGTTGCCATCGTGTCCGGCTTCACTGATTCTACCAATGCAAAGCCAGACAATCCTTCATCCCATTCCTATGATCAAATTTAATGAAAGAATTCGTGAAATATTTCTGAAAAGGTCCCCTCTGCTGAGGTTCACTTTGCTTTAGTGAAAAAGTAACCATGAATTCGTTCCAATGTTTATTTATCTCCACGAACACGTCCGTTCCGATTTGCTTCACGAGGTCCGGAATCTTCGTTGTTGGTTCTGAAGCATCGTTGTCAAGTTGGTTTAATGCTGATGGCTAAACAATAAATATGGCTCACCTGCTTCAGCGTTGAAACCAGCTAGGAAGAGGAGTGGTAGTGCGAGGACGAACAACATTTTGATTCTGACGAATTTGCTCCACTAACCAGATCTTATATATGGATGATGACCACGCACTTTAGCTGAACATTATAGTGCATCAAAGTGCTATTGGGATTATTGAAGGTTGCGCATGAAAAGCTGTTCCGGAACGGATTTGCTGACGTAGCTAATCGACTTGTGTTTTTGCTCACATTTTACTCATCCTATACCAGAGGGGCACGCTATTTTGAAAGAACCATCAGAATGTGCTTCACGAAAGACGGAAGTGTCTTTAACATTCGGTGTGCCTTCTGAAAAAAGACCATGGTTGGTTTTATCCAATTCGTCAGTTTTCGGCTACAGATAGGGTACATTTTTCTGCAAAGATGAACTGAAGCGAAACAATTTTCAACCAAGCTCAGCTATGTAGTGCTGGTTAGACTCTAACTTGTGGCTGATATCTTCTGCTCTCCACAAGGTTGTTAAGCAGACTTTCTTATTGGCTTACGTTTCAGCGGGGTTGCCTTCTTCAGAGCCATAACTTACATTCCTCAAATTCCTTCAAACTTAAAAATTTGCACCTGCACTTCACAGCGCTTCAGATACAAATTAGAGTCGAAATCGAAATCAAGTTTAGTCTGGATTGATGTGTGTCCCACTACTGGTTCCGGGTGGTCTCGAGTATCGGACTTACAAGGGGGGTCTTTCAGGGCAAGCCACGCTTTTTCAAAACGGTTTTTGCATATTGTAGGGACGCATGTATGGACCACAAAACCATGTTTCGTTTTCGCTGAACGGTTTTAGTAGTACCAAAAAAGTGGTGAATAATACCCTTGATGGTTCGATCCCCCGCGGCGACTAAATTTTTGCAATTAAGGTTGGCGCCTACTCGATTGGTGCCAAATCCGCTAAATGTCGAATAATCAGATGTCATATTCATCGTCAGCACCGTTTTGGAGCCAACAAGGTGCCCGTCAACCTTGAGTTGCAAAATTATTACGCACGGGGGATGAACCATGAAGGGCGTATCATCACCACTCTTTTTCTATATATCTAAAACTGTTGGTTCAGCACGAAAACGAAAAATGGTTTTTGTGATCATACACAGGTCCCCACATAATGCGAGCAACCGTTTCCGGAGAAAGCGCGGCTCGCCCTGTAATCCGGTACTCGAAAACCACCCGGAACAGAGTGGGACCACACATCAATCCAGACTAAACTTGATTTCGATTTCGACTCCAATTTGTATCTGAAGCGCTGTGAAGTGCAGGTGCAAATTTTTAAATTTGAAGGAATTTGAGGTGATTTTTGCTTTTTGTCTTGTCTCCATGTCCTGTTCTATATGATCTATAGTAACTTCATGATTTTCACAAGATGCGCTAATTGGCTAATCGTAGTATAGCACAAGGACATTTTTTGGCGCATTGTAGACATTTCCGTTCAATCGGATAAAGCATTTTTGTCGTTGATCAATCCCTTTTTGGGATGCGGCACGCATTCTACTTCCATTTGTACATTCGTAGTGGCGTTTGAATGCGATGTGGCCTATACAATGACTTGCGGGGGCCAGCCGATGTTCAAGTCAGTGTTTTTATCCTCCCAGACAAGTCTGGTACCAAATTAACCGACCCCGGAGGGATGGAAGGCTTGGTTGGCCTGGGCGACTCACGACCCAGGATTTGATCCCGGACCGCTCGCGCTGGGAAGCGCGCCACTTGTCACTACACCACTTCCGCCCATGGCCTCGCAATAATTGATAACCTTCTTCAATATCCCAAATATGAAGGTGTAAGATGCAACGTGTGATATGGGGCAAAGCTTCATTACGTATATATCAGAACAATCCTTAGAAAAGCACCTTCTAAGCTTTGATAAGGACCTAATGTAATGCATGTGCCAGTGTGGTTTTTGTTGATTCCATTATGGGTTTTTTATCGTTAAAGGAAGCTTCGAACGGCGAATCTGATATCTATTGCTTTGGAGAAGCCATGCGTTTGAGAAAAGAAACATTGAAAAAACTTGTCTTTCTTCCAATTTCGCTTTCATATGTGTACTGTGATAGTGTATTGATGATGAGAAATTCGGAGAGAAATCATTCCTCTATTGTAGCGATATTGAAGAAAAATAGGAGAATCTATACTGTTAAGGGACAAACTGTATAGAAAAAAATCGAAATGTGTTGTTGAACCCTCGAGCACTGCCCTTTTTGTTGTGTCATGCTCATAAATCCACATGTCATTTAATGAAAACCCTTTTCAAAAGATGATTAAAATCTCCAATATGTGAGGATTGAATCATGCTCAACACAAAATTCGCTACTCCTCATTCGCGGCCTTCTTTTTTAATCGATTGAGGGTATAAACATTGATCTCTTCATTAATTGGTTCCTGCACAGGATTAACCGTGCGATGCGCAGATTTTCAAGTTTTCCTTTACGACTTCTCTCCTTCAGGAGGGCATCCGGTAACGACACCCCCCCCCCGCCAATTAAGCTTTTTTCTCTTTTACATATTACTCAATGCTCATCATTGAGTACTTTGCTTGTTAATATCTTTCTTCAAAGCTCCTCACGAGGTTGGCAAATAACTTTTATTGGGCTTACGTTTCGGCGAGGATCGCCTTCTTCAGAGCCTGAAAGGGTCGAAACAATTTATGACTACCCGATCAAATGTCCCAGCAACCCTACTGAAGTTCGAGACCAAACAACTCATCACGCAATCCAAAGGTGGGCCACCCGGAATCGGACTGTCCTTGATTCAGAGACACTGGATTGAACGGGCCACCCCTAAATAGGAGGGAAGTATGCCTCACAATAATGCCGGTATGAGGCCCTTCCACATTGACTCTGAATCAAAGAACAGTCGATCGTACATACTCTCGGTTATGGTTGATCTCCAGGACCGGACTGTGTTACGGATGTCTGTGCGGTTTCTGTTGCATTTCGCTCTGCGAAAGTTAGAGGAATCTTCCACGGAAAAACTCCTGTCTTTATTCTCACAAATAAACGATACCCAGGCTCCTAGCCACTTGGTGAATTATGTTAACTAATTAGACTAATGAAAAAGTTGAATTCCCGCTGTGAAACCTCCACAACTGCTAGCGGCGAGGGTTGTCAACGCGTGCAAACGCATCGATAGCGTGAATGCGAATAGAGAGTTATGTTGGACCTTCCTATAAACTTATACGTGGGATCCGCACCTGCCATGGACTTTTCTGTCCACAAAAACCACTCTCCGGTTCCGCCCATCGGCGTATCCGTTCCGGTCCTATAGGTGTCTGCCTTCCCAGGTAACTGTTACGTTTGGTTAATTCAATTCCTTCTCGCTCCGAAGTCATTGCACATTAGTTTTTCACATCGACCATGCCCCAACACCTAACACACAGATAAGAATGACCAATCTTCTCATGGAAGATTCCTTTATGTCCCAGGAAAGTTAGGCTATCAACAAAACTCTTCGCTAAAGCGGGAACCGAACCCTAACCCATGCTATCAAATGTTGGGTTAATGTGAAGCATACCTGAGTAGTGTAATCCGGGATACGCAATTTCTCCGTGGAAGCGGAGGTTCAGTGTTACTCGATCGTTTGCACTGCTGCTGCGCAGTTTTGCTTACCCGGGCAGGTCACCATGTCCGGCCATCTGTGATGAGCTCTAAACTATTGCACTCGCCTCGAGACGCTGAGTTCAACATTGTCTTCCATGTCTGCTAAACGATTTCGGAACGGATCTATAAAGCAAGAAGCGCAGCGGTAGTGCCGATGTTTTCGTAGAAGGACATGCTAGCAACTGCCCTCACCAAATTCTTGTATAAGGCAAATAATGGTTTGATGCGTAAATCAAGGAATTGCCTCCCCTTCTTGCCACAGTGACATTGAAAAACAAAAAAGAGGCTCCACGAGTAACCGTTTTCCATCACCTCTTGCTTGCGAGACCGCTCACTACCGTCGCGACTTTTTGCTCTATAACTCCGACCAAAAAACGGTTAGCAGATAGGCGAGCCAGTACTAAACCTTGCAAGGAATGCTCAATTGGTCAGTCCGGCCATTTTGTAATGAGATGTAGTCCAATGACGCGTCTTGCGACGCTGAGCTCAAATCCGTTTTCGTTATCTGCGGAACGATTCTCTGAAAGAAGTTACGAGGGAATCTTCTCACTATGGCTTTTCACTGTGGCATCCTCTATTCCCCTATCCCCCACGGTTCGCATAAGAAGAGCCAGAGAGCAGCCAACACCGTTGGCCAGGTGGCCTAAAGGATATCTCTCTAGATCATATGTGACGAGGAGGTCACATTGATCGGATCCTTTGGCCAAATTGGCGGTTTCTTTGCATTTTTTGCCTAGCTCACACGAGCCCAAAAAGTGTTTATATTTGGTTATTTTGTTGATTTGCGTCCCCACTTGACATGTGGCTGAGACAGACTTTGGAATTTTCCTCTCGTCCGTCTTTTTAGGTTTTCTATTATGATGAACTTTGACACACGGGACAAAACACAAGGACACAGGCTCGTAAATATACAAAATTTCAATAACTTGCGAGCATATGTGATAGTTCTTCACATGGTGATCAAAACAAAACAGCTTTTCGCAGTGTGCACAGGGAATAAAGAAAGATTAGGGGGATGTAGAGGGTGCCACAGTGAGAAACCACAAACGAGAAAATCCCCGCTAACTTTTCAGAGAATCGTTCCGCAGATACGGAAACGGGCCTGAGCTCGCTTCGCAAGATGCTTCCACTGGACCACATCTGATTCCAAACGACCAGACTGATCAATTGACCATTCCTCTTCAGCATATCGAGGAGAAGGAGAGTATATAGCTCACTGCTAATGGCCGTACGGACCTGATGACCTTTCCTTGTTAGAAAGAATCACTCCCAGAACGTTTTTGCATTCTTTTGCACAATAGAGTAGTCAGTTGTGATCAATGGAAACAAAGTGAAAAAAAATTCACGCAATGGATCGCTTCCCGAAAAGAAGCAAATTTACGAAAACCACAATATAGAGACGGTCGAGGGTAGGTCGGGCTGGCGAGAAAGG